TATACAAGTTTCACTTTTTAAATGGAATTACTGAAATAAATCTACTTTTTCATGATATTCTAATTTTATGACCAGCACCTGTATATTCTGAAATACAGAAAATTGCAGTAATGATTATACATAAATGAGGCTAAAAGCCAAAACAATTACAAAATGTTGAACAAAGAATCATTTTGCCAAAACAGTAAAAGTAAAAAAAATAAAAGTGGCACATTATTTTTGGGCCTTAACTTTTGTTAAAAATCAAATAAATGTATTTTTAAAAGTCCCAGCAGTTTTGAAGCTGAGAGATTAAAATCATTTTTAAATTGATCACAGCTCTTATTTCCCCCAACACTGCTGTTGTGGCTCTCTTCAAACCACAGCTTCGACTCTAGAGCCAGTGAGTCCAGAAAATAAAATTAATAAGAGAAAAGAAAAATGGATAGTACTTGAGAGTTTAACAATAAACCAGAAAAAATAATTATGATTGAATCTTTAAGATGACTGGAATTAGCTTCACTGAAAAMAGAAAGAGAGACAAGTAACCTTCAAATAACTTCAATAAATGCAACGTCAACAACTTACCAGTAGGTTGACGTCTGGTAGCAGGTTGAAGACATCCTGCAGCTGGTAGATGATCTGGTGGTTGATGGGAAGTTTGCCTGCCGCCACTCTCTCCAGGTAAGAACGAATGTCCAGCAGCTTCGAGTTGAGCCCCTTCAGACCATGAACCTGGTTTGTGATGCGTTGCGAGAGAGTACCAACTGTGGTATCCTTAATATCTCTGTAGACAAAATATGGCAGGAAATAATAATAAAAAAATGGATTATTTCTGTTTTGCTGTCTGACGTGCTTGAGTTTTTATATTGAAGATTAAATAATGTACGGCAGCCACGACGTCTCAAGAACACGACTACAGTGTGTGAAGCACAGGTTTTGTCTGGTACCTTAGCAGGTGCTCTACTCCCACTTCCTCTGCTTCTTCAGCTCCAATCTCACTGGTGACGTGTTCAAACGTCTTGGATGTTGGAGTGCCATCCTAAAAATAGTGAATACAGGAAAAACATAAAAATAAAATCTCTGATCTAAAAATATTAACTTATTTTTAACTTTGATGCACCTTCTTTGGCATTTTTAAAAATCACACTTACATCGTGTATTTCTTCCACGGAGATGTATGCTTCTGTGGGCAGGCCGAGATCTTTAGGCTTCACATCTATGATAACTAACACCTAAAAAAATAAATAAAAGAAATGTGGGGGTAATTCATTATCATAATGAATATTTTTAAATACAAGGTGATGTTTAAGTTCATGAWGAATTGGTATGGAGTAGGGACATTGCATACCGAGTTGGTACAGTACCGCTTGATGAGTTCATTGATTGCTATGTCATTCTTATGTAGTTTGGGTCCTGTGTGGTACCATCCAACTATTCTTTCTCTGGCTGGAAACCAGAAGACAGTTATTCATATTTATGAATCAAAGGTAACATACAAAACAAGTAAATTTAATGAGACACATTCACTGCCTTACCATTAACTTTCTTGAACATGCCATACATGTTCTCCAAGTAGTCGTGATCCAGAAACCACACCGAGTCGTCCCTGTCGTCTTCATCAAACGGCACTGAGGAGAAGCACTGATATCAGAAGTCTGACAGGACATAGACATTAACACACTAATCACTRCATAAAACTGAGTTTAGAAGTTTGTTTAAAACTGAGCTTCAGCTGACATTAATGGAGCAGTTTGAGTATTTGTCGTTTTTCATGGATGTGTCGTTTCTTTGCTCACAATTAAAAATTTAACACCATGTTCTTTCAACAGATTAGACACAATGATAGAAACTTGGTTGCACCATGTGTGTGTATTAATGCGGAGAAAATAACAATAGCGGTGTTTGTGTTGCAATAAATATATTTTGTAGTTTTGGGTGTAATAAACGTCTAAAATTTATCATTCATGAATACAAAGTTAAGATTTGGTGTAAGATGGGAGGACTCAGGGCCTCGAGGAAATGAAATCAGCAGGCTTGAAAATGCAACAAAATGACATTAATGACAGTGCATAACAAAATCTAAAAAGCATGGTTTCCTATTAACACCTTTCATTACACTTACCTGCAAAGCTATTTGACACGTCAAGAACCTTTTTGTGCCATGATCCCAAAAGGACACCAACCACACGTTTCTGATTTCCAACTTTTCCTATCCTGTAGATTAAGCAAAATCATTAAAATTAAACGCTATGTGCCATTAACACAATAATAACCCTGCTTAGCTAGGCTAGGTAGCACAATAATCTTTTGTCGTGAAAATTTTATATTTTGAAGTTAAGACAGTGCTGCTATCGGTATCATTGTATTAATAAATTAATTTATAATTAAGTACTATAATAATAATATACATTTTTTATATAATTCGTTATATTCTGAGTTCACTAACACTTTCAAACAGCTAACTAGCTTTGTCGTGTCTCCATTCATTTTTAATGGGGCTCTGACTCAGCACCGCTAGCTTTAGCTTAGCCTAGCCTACGCGCTACGTTTATGAACGATTTGACCACAAATACTTTTAAAAGGCTGCACTCAAACACTGCGCGCACTAACCTGTTAAAATGATCGACCACGCTGAGCAACACAAGCGGGTGAACAACCACATTTTCCACCGCTAACTCCGGCATTTTTAAAACGAGGATTGAACAGCACAACAGCTCAACACACTCAGACGTCTACGAAGGTTCACTTCCGGCTGCGTCTGACGTCTCTTCCGCTTCCCTTGGCAACAGTGAAACACAAACGGGAGAAGAATTAAAAAAGAAAAAGAAAAAGTTGTTTGATAGCAGCTCGTTGACAAAATGGTGAGATATGATTTAATTATTCATTTATTTAATTATCTTTAAATTGTTAGTGACTTTATAACAAAAAACCTAATCTATAATAGAAATGTTACAAAATTGTGACAATCCTTTTTTTAGTTGGTTTCCGAGTCAGACGTTGAGGAAACACTGAAGAGTATTGAAAACCATGAAAGTGTTATTGGAACAGTTGTTGTGAATGCACAAGGTAAAAGGAACCATATAATTTTCAGGGTATTGTGTTTTTATTCTCTTCGTCTTTGATAGAAGTTTACATGATTACGAACATACTTGTAATGTTGCCTGTTTATTTATTCATTCATTCATTCATTCATTCATTCATTCATTCATTCATCCATTCATTCTTTCATTCATTCCAGGTATTCCCATCAAAACAACTTTAGACAACTCCAAGACTATTCAGTATGCAGGACTTCTTCGCGACCTCACAGCAATGGCCAGGAGCGTGGTCAGAGACATTGACCCTCAGAATGACCTCACCTTCCTCCGCATCCGCTCAAAAAATAAAGAGATTATGGCTGGTCTAGGTAAACCTTTTAATTATATTTATAAATCATCTGACACGTTGAATATTCTTGCCTCTGCTGTTTCCTCTGTRTTTGCGTGGCTCATTGTTTCTTCTTGTTTATCTCTGCAGAGAACGACTACCTGCTGATAGCCCTTCAAAACCTGTGAACAGCTGCCAGATTGTCAGCCTCTTTCATATGGCTGTGCTTCACTTCCCACTGTTTTCTATCTTAATTGCTCATTTTCCATTTAGTTCTCAAGCAGTTGGCCTTTTACCTTGTCTGYAATGTCCTGATGCATCTCAGTAATCCAGGTAAAAAATCAAAAAGAAAAAAAATTGTATAGAACTTCTGGACGGGTTCTTCTCTAATGAAACGTTTCGTCTCTCCTCCAAGAGACTTCTTCAGTCTGAGAGTTTCAGGCAAAATTCAGGCTTTTAAGCACTGCCTCCATGTGACTGATACTCACATCACATGGCTATCGTTGACACCTAATTAACACCTATTGTTAACAGGGGGTGGAGTGATACTGGCAATAGCWGCACTGTAGGAGGGGGACAACTGAAAACGGAGGCCTCCACCTCTGTTTAATGATGGACGGTCTTTCTTCACAAAAATGGCTTCTTTTACTCCTCTCTCAAACCAACGTTCCTCTCTATCAAGAATGAGAACATCCTCATCTCTGAAAGAGTGACCGCTGGCCTGTAAATGAGTGAAAACTGCAGAGTTCTGGCCATTAGATGTAGCTCGTCTGTGTTGGGACATTCTTTTGAACAGTGGCTGCTTTGTTTCCCCGATGTATAACTGGTCGCAGTCCTCCTGGCACTTAACAGCATATACAATATTGCTCTGTTTGTTCCGGGGCACTGGATCTTTGGGGTGAACCAGCCTTTGCCGTAATGTGTTTTGGGGTTTGAAAGCCACTGGGACATCATGTTTAGAAAATAAACATATCAGTTTCTCCGAAACACCCGCAACATACGGAATAACCACTGGTTTGGGTCTGGGTTTGGGGTCTTCATTTTCACCTGAAGGTTGCATGGAATCCTGTCTGTTTCCTGTCTGCTTTCAGGAAAGCCCAGTCAGGATAACCACACTGCTCCAGGGCCTGTCGTGTGTGTGATTTCTCTTTCTGCCTGGCTCCTGGGTTTGTAGGGACACTGTCTGCTCTGTGGTACAGAGTCCTGATCACTCCTAACTTGTGTTCCAGTGGGTGGTGGGAGCCAAAACGCAAATATTGGTCTGTGTGGGTGGGCTTACGATATACGCCAGTTTCCAACCGTCCTCCATCCAAAACCGAGACATCGCAATCCAGGAACGTGATGTGAGTATCAGTCACATGGAGGCAGTGCTTAAAAGCCTGAATTTTGCCTGAAACTCTCAGACTGAAGAAGTCTCTTGGAAGAGAGATGAAACGTTTCATTAGAGAAGAACCCGTCCAGAAGACCTACACAATTTTTTTTTCTTCTTGTCTGCAATGTTTCTGTTTAACACTTGTTTTTACTAATTAAATGTGGAACGAAACTGTACGTCCATAGATCATGTTTTTTTGGAGCTGTGGTAGCTCTGTGGTCAGTGAGGCTGAAGGTTCAAAACCACCCTGTGTCAGGAGGGGGCATCCAGCGTAAAGCAACAGCCAAATCTTTCATGRCATAAATTTATTAAGCATAGCATAAAATCCTGGCCATTGTGTGCCAATACCSTGTGTTTAATACACAGCACAAAAAGCAAGSACATTTGTGTTTGTTAAATCACTAATTTAATTTAATCTGTGTCAAAGCCAAGAAATATTAGATGTTTCCTCTTGTCCAAGGTTTTTTTAATACTTGATTTCTTGTTTGACAGAATAAAACTTGGTTACAGTTTTGTGTTGATAAAAACCTTCAAATGTGAGCTTTCTTTGCTTTGACACACCTGATTTGAATAAATGAGTGATTAACAGGCTTCTGCAGACTTGCAAGCCTTCACAGGTGTAGCCAGTGAAGCCAACCAAGCAGCGTTGAACCGTTTCAGTACCTCTGCTCGACCAGCAGATGTCGCACTTTCAGATACAAAAAAAAATTAATTAAGCCAAGTTTTTTTTCTTAACAAATATTTATTGTAAATTTCCATCAGAATGTTCATCAATATATATTAATAAATAATTCATTGCAATTATACAGCCCAGATGATACATCACATAACRACTGATTGAAGCAAATATTCAAGATTTCACAGCAGGTTTGAGGAGGTGACTGAGCAGGACGGTCAGGTGAAACTGCAGGAACTGCTACTGTATTCTGTGCTCAAAGAGATTTTCAGAGTTAAATGGGAAAAAAAGTCATGAGCTGGCTTAAATAAAACTTAAAACCTTAAAAGAACACAAGGAACGGTTTGTTAGAAGAAGAAAATACGATATCTGAGGTTTGTGTCACATAAATAATCTAGTCTCAAGAGAGATTATTACTTTTTGTTGTTTTGAAATAAAACCCTTTCYGTTTGCGTAACAAAAGAGGTAAAAATACTTTTCAGCATCATCAAACCTAAAGTATTTCAGTCTCACACATAATGCCGATCGTTCTACAAAAAATACAATAGTAGAAGGTTCGTAAAATTATTTTAACGGAGATGTGACGATTCCTAKATCAACTCTTGGATCAGATTAATCAGGATTAATTAGCTCAACATTTGTCATCTTCCAAACACAGTGCATCGTTTTAAAGTCCCCCCCGTCTTGACAGCACGCAACAATTTTCAAAATACGACCAAACTACTGTTGTTAAGCTTCTAAACATTTTTATTCTGACCAGCAGCAATCCCAACAAAGCATATGGCTTGTCACGAGTTAAAGCAGTAAAACATACAAAAATCCTCACCTAACAAGCAACGTTACAAACCTATAAAATGTTGTTTAAACCATTTGCCATATTAGACTTTAGACGCTCCCTTTGCCCCCGACTTCCTTTCARCTCAAGCTGCTCTGAACTCAGAAGACACAATGACATTAACCCACAGAGGACTGTCAAGTAGTCGCTCCCATTTTATTTTAAGTGCATCTTGTCAGTTTAAGGCCTGAGGTGTGCTTTGATTCTTAAACCTTGCTGCTCAGTTTGACTCGTTTTTGCCCAGGAAAGTTGTGCCTGAATGGATACGACTCACTTCTGTTGAYTGATGGATTATTTCACACGAGATGAGCTAAAATGACGTTCGGTCGCAAAGCCGGYTCAGGTAGTAGGAGCTGTGAGAAGCGAAGAAGCAGATTCACTGACTTAAGTGTTCTCCATGCTCAGTCTCTTGGGCGCCACGGGCTTTGGTCACATGACAGGTGACAAACGGTCTCTGGGAACAATCGGACGGCGTCGCTGTCTGGACAGAAAGGCAACAAGAAAGCGGCGGGCTCCTTCAAGTGCTTCAAGTGTGGCGAGCAGCCCCGGCTCCTGTTACGGCTCCTCCGCCGGCAGAGGGTGTGGCCCTCGCGTCGGAGGTCACCTCGGTGTGTACCCGTTGACTTGGCTCCTGCCCCAGTGGATGCTGGGTAGTGTCAAACACCTCCTGAAGTGCTCCAGCTGGGCCTGCAGTCGGTCCCGTTCCTCCCTCACTTTCTGCCTCTGGCTCACCAGCTCCTGGAAAACGAGATAAAAAAGACGAACGACRTTCAACTCTCTGCACACGTCCACCGACACAGCTCCTGAGAACACAGACATTTACAGAAAAAAAAAAAAAACGCAGACATGAAGCACGAGGTGAGCTTCTCACCCCCACAGTGAGAGAAAGCTGCTCCGCAGTTCTGGTCAGGTTGTAGTTCTGAGCTTCAAGTCTTTTACACTGACTGTGAAGAACCTGACGCTCTGTGGTCCGGTCTGAGAAAGAGAGAGATGCAACTTCTGTTACTCAACAGCCCAATAAAACCTGAACATGTAGAGCAGGGCTATTCAACTGGTGGCCTGCAGGTCAGATGTGGCCTGCGAGTGACCAAAGTTCGGCCCGCCAATTGGCTCATTCATCTCTTAAGCCCAAACCCCCTGTTTTCTACTTTAATTACTCTWAGTTCTTTTAGTTAAACATAGACATGTTTGGTTTCTACAGAAAAGTCGGAATCTTGGCTACAAGCTGGTAAAAACCATTTCTATGAACACTSAAGACAGTTAAATAATAAAATTGGTTTAAAAATCTGGCAAGTCAGAGATGTCAAAATAATATTTGTGTCAAATACGAGGCATAACGTGTTCCTTTTGTTTTTGATATTGTTTAATTATCACTACTTTTATTATAGGGTTCTCTATGTTGTTTTCATGATTAAATACAGCAAAATAAACTATTTCAAAGTTAACAGATCTTTGTAATACTTGGTTTATTTACACAATAACTTTAATTGCCAGATGTTTGGCCCCTGARCTGTTGACCTACAGTAACTGTGGCCCCCRGAGCAATTTAGTTGATGATGTAGAGTAAATGAATAATTGATCATATAAACAATACAAAAAAATGAAATATGGGGGGATTTAAGCAAAGATATGAGAGAAGACCTAAGAGATGCTTCATCCTCTGTTTAAGTTTTCCTCTAATAACTTTGTGGTGCCAAATAATTGCTGTGTGTTACTGAACTGTTACCYTTGATATGTTACATACCGTTAAATTAAAGATGAAATGGTAATCTAGGGTTTTTTCGTTACTTTCAGACACAAAATTTTCTCTAAAATATTAAGTTTTACCAGATGTAAGAAGGTCAGTTTTTCTTCCTTTACTGATTTATGAAGTATTTGTTACTTTAAAAGCAAAGCTTGATAACTCAGACTCACCGTCCACATACTCCTGATACGCCTCGAAGACCGCTTCGATGCCCCGCCACTTCCTGGTCGCCTCCTCCTCCTCCTCCTCCTCTTCCTCCTCTTCGTCCTCCTGACCCGACGACTCCTCTTCATCGGACAGACGGTCCCGTGCAGCGGGAGCGTCTCGGCTCACTGCGGGCCGGTGGAAGCGGTGGCCGTTGGCGTGTGCGTGCTGAGGGGCGTGGCTTAAAGCTTTCAGCTGAGAGACGCTGTGAGGCGGCGGGCGTTCGGACTTCCCTCTGGCCTCGGGGAGGCAACTTGAGATTTCTTTAAAAAAGGAAATGAGACGAGATCATTCTTTGTGCAACCACTAGATGGCACAACCCTACTATTTAAATTTTTTTTAAATGCATTTACGTTGAAAGAGGCAGAGCGCACAGGGGCTGACCTTTGCTGTGGAGAGTGCTGTGTGTGGACTGCAGCACAGCCTGGTGGAAGTGCTGAGCGAAGGCCTCCGGAGTCAACCTCTCCCAGGGCTGACTCCGTCCATTCTGCACAGAACCGGGCTCCCTCTTCTGAGGCGGAGCCACCGGGCCGTTCTGCAGAGGCTGGAGCTTCCTGCTTGGCTGAGTCTCCGCCACTTCGGACTTTTCGTGAYGGGAGGTCAGCGGCGGCGGGGGGACGCGGGCAGCCTGGGAGTCCGCGGCGGGTTTGAGGGTGTCGTTGTGGAGGTGCTTGTGTTTGTGAAGGTGTGGAGGGGAGGGGCTGGGGGAGTCCGGGTACAGGTGTCCGTTTGAGCGAGGCGGCAGAGGGGCTGAGGAGGAGTCGCCTAAAAGAAGCAGAGTTTAGGAATGAGGAGGTTTCGCGGCTGTACAACGTCTCGATGGGTCTGATGGAGACTCACCGGTCGGAGGAGCAGCTGGACTTCGACACGACGCTCGAGGATTGTATCTGATTGTGTCTAACGTCACGGTCTTCCTCTGGATGGCCTTCAGCAGCTCCTCCGTCCTCTCCTTATCTACACAGAAGACGACAGAACAAGATCAACCAACTGTGTGATAAAAAAACCTAACGGTAAGGCTTAAAGAGCGGCATTCGCTAATGGAAAAATGTTGCTGAACGGATTATCCAAGTCAGCGCAGCAGAGAGGTGCACGACCGTAAAATTCAGGTTTATTTTTAGTTTTAACCAAAACAAATATGAGGTTTCACCAAGACGTTTTATTTTTTATTTACCATTATTTAACCAGGCAAGATTTCAGATCTCTTTTTCAATGGAGGCCTGGGCCTGAAGGCAAGCTATTGTACATGTTTTTAGGGGTGGGGCAAACCGGAGTACCCAGAGAAAACCCACACAAGCACGAGGAGAACATGCAAACTCTGCACAGAAAGACCCCATGTCTGAACCGTGGATCGAACCCAGGACCTTCTTGCTGTGAGGCGTTGGTGCTAACCACTGAGCTGTCGTGCTGTCACGTTGCTTTTATACCATCAAAACAACACAATTAGTCCATCAGAAATTTCTTCTGGTCACAAAAAATAGTCAAAATCTGATTTCAAACCCTTTAAACTTCTAATAGTAAAATTAAAGCTAAAGCTTCATGGTATTAAAATCCAATTTTTACTTCTAAAGTTGCTTTTTTATGTTTTTTGACTCAAAATAAGCTCATTAATCTAAAACATTTGTTAGGATTTTTACACGAATCTTCAAAAACATGAATCCTCTAAAGACATTTTCAGAGTTACTGACAAAATCTATATAAAACGTTCAAGTTAAAAGACGTGTTAGATCTTATACAGCATAAAAAAAGATTTATTTAAGATCTGCAGCAAGTTGAGATGAATGGAAAATATTTTTAAAAGCACCATCAGTTTTTCATTTTTGTTGAACCAATTATATTTTATATATAAGCTTTTCCAGTATCTGTGCCCCATTTATAGTCAGAATCATGTGTTTTTATGGGACATAGTATTTTATTTTTCATGTGGGTAATAATCTGCTTCGTCTAAACCTCCTGCTCTAAATCCTCCAAACTTTTATTTTCTTCTCACCCCTCCTACATCCTCAGCGCAAACAAAAARGCTGAGAAAAAAAAAAGAAGAAGAAGTAAAAGCCGTGTTTCTCCGAGTTGGAAAGCTGCAGAGGAGCACGTAGGATGTGTGGAGAAACTAAACAGGTCGTTACCTCTCCTCTGCTGAGGGCTGACATGGGTGAGGTTGAACATAAGGAGGAAGTCTTTTTTCTCCTGCAGCTCGGGGGTGCTGTCCATCTGCTCGGCCGAGTACGGGGTGACGAGGGGAGCCGTGGGCGTTGAAGGTGAAGTGATTTTTCGTTTGCCCTGCACTGCCGGTGGAGAGACGCTGCGCTCTCTCATCATCCTCCGCCTCTTCCTCCTCATTTGAGCCAGAAGCTCGTCGCGACGGGCCAGAGTGGTGAGACCGCACGAACGCAAGAAATCTACTTTCTTTGAAGAGAGGAAAACGTTGAGGTGAATATATAGGATTTTTTTAAAATAAAAGGTCCTGTATTCCTTGAAAGAATGCACTATAATAATCGTGTTTTGAGAAATTATAAAGTTAAACCTTATAGATATATGTAAAAATCACGTCAAATTTAAGCTCAATGCCTGTAAAACCGACTGAGTTACAGCCAAAAGTTAATAATTTGAAGAGGAACATAAAACGATTGTATTCTAAAAATTTTAAATAAAATCTGTCCAGTGGTTCAAGAGATATTTTGCTTACAAACAGGGTTGACACCAACAGTTAAAACAAAAATCGTATGCCATGGGTCATTTTTATAATATGTGTTGTGAATTAGTCTCGGCTACTATCACACTAAATTTAAAACCAATGTCTGCAACACTGACTAAATTTTAGCTGTTTTTGTGTTTTCTACGGTCAGTTGGCTGTGGCAGCCATCTATATGTAGATTTATTCCAAAAGGTAATCAGTTGAAGAGGTACACTCAGTGGATATTACCTGAATGTTTCATTCAGATCTGTCCAATGGTTCATGAAAAATTTTGCTAACAGACAAACAGAGCTGACCCTGAATTGTTATTTGCTAAATTTCAAACATATATCTATTGCAGTCGGTCAGTGCTCATATGTGTTGAGAATTAGTCTCAGCTACAATCACGCCAAATTTAAACCCAATATCTTAAAAATTAACTATATTTTASCTGTCTTTGTGTTTTCTACGGTCAGWTGGCTGTGGCAGCCATCTTTTATTGGTTTTATTCAAAAAGGTAATCATTTGAAGAGGTTCATTCAGTGTAAGTTTATTCATTTCATTACCTGAAAGTTTCATTCAAATCAGTCCACTGGTTCATGAAATATTTTGCTAACAGACAAACAGAGTTGACTCTGAWTAGTAATTTGCCAAATCTATTGCAAGGATCTTTTACAATTGGTTAGTGCTCATAATATTTGTTGAGGATCAGTCTCAGCTACTACCACRCTTAATTTTAGGTCAATATTTGTAAAACTGGCTTAGTTAAAATGGTTTTTAAGGTGGATAAAAACAAAAATCTGACTCTTTCTGTTTATGCACCTCAGAGGACGTGTCCAGTTTGAGAGGGGGTTGTTCTGTCACCCTCCTCAGATGAGCTTTTACCTCCTCTTCGTCGCTCTCATCATATGACTCATCCAGGTCATAGTAATAACCTGGTAAAAGCAGAGCAGGGAGAGATTTCATCAGTCATTATTAAATAAAACTGCAGGCATAAGAGCCTTTTAAATGACACAATCAATGATTCCCTGCAGTCCTCCTGCTCATCACGTCTCACCTCCGTCTCTGGCCTCCTTTCTCCTCTTCTCCTCCAAGTCGAGCTTGCTGAGCAGCCGGCGGTGCTGCTGGAGGACCTCGTCGTAAACCAGCGTGCTGTCGGATGCGTGTGCCTGTCGCTCTCTTGTCAGCGGGGGAGAGGCCGCCTGGAACCGGAGCCCCGGGTCGCTCGGAGCAGGCGGAGGCGCTGAGGGTCTGTGGTGGAGGTGGTTGACGTGCTGCCGGGGGTACAGGCTCTGAACGCTTCGCTCCTGCTCGGTTTTGCTCCACGGCTCCGTCAAAGCTGCCCCCCTCACCGCGGGGTACCTCTCTGGGCTTCTGGAAGTCCTCCTGGCTCCGTCTTCTATCCTGTCCCCCCAGTTCACCGGACGCCTGTCGGCCCGGGTCAGCCCCGGCGGCGGGCGGCCGGGTGGAGCGGCGGGGTTAGGTTTCCTGCGGGAGTCTAAGGACGGCGTGTCGACGAGGGAAGCCGGGTTCCACAGCGTCGCGGGAGGAGCAGGAGGAGGAGCTTTAGGGGAAATGAGGGGAGGCGGAGCACCGAGGCACGGGGACGCATCTTTGCTGCTCAGGTTGTGATAAACTGAACTCGTTCTGTTTAAGACAAATAAAACATTTACACTAAAGCACATTTTTATCTTTTCTAAATAAATCATCCAACATTTTGTACCTGTGGCCGTCTCTCCTTGATTCCACACCTTTCCCAGGTGACCTGAGGCCCACCACCAGAGGACCCTCCCTCTCCTGTCCTTGTGCTCGCTGCCGTGACAGCCAGGCCTCGTCGCCGGCTCTCTGCGTCATCACGGCGGCCGCCAGCGCTCCGTGGATCCCTGCGGAGGCACGGTGCTTCCCCAGGTGGGAGGGCAGCAGGCTGGGCATGGGGTGAGGGACAGAGGCCCTGGAGGAGTGAAGTCCTGACTGCAGGGGCACGGGTTTAAGGGCTGGGAAACCTGGGTGGTCTGAGTCCTTGTTTTTATCTGGAAAAAGGAGGAAATTAGAAAGTTGCTGTTGAGATGAAATATTGTGTTAAAGTTTACGTTGGTGAGTTTTATTTTTTATTAAACTCATTAAATACTTGTAATCTATATTTATATATTTGATAGTTTGATGTAAAAAAACAACAAAAAAAGGTCTCTAATAATCCAGTGATGAGAAGGAATCTAGCAATTTCTCACTCAAATATTTGATATGTTGTATGAATATATTATAAAAACAGTCAGAAGGCCTACATCTTTTTATTTGTTTATTTAACAGAAACAACAAAACGTCTTAAAAAAGATCAATAATGGCAATGCCCTTAAAAGAGTTGATTTTGGTTGAGACATCCAATTTCCATGTATTAGTACTTGTTCTCACTCAGATTTGCTGAATAAAAATGTTTTTCTTTCGGCTGCTCCCCTCTGTCAGAGATTTAGCAATTGTTTTGTGCCGGATGCCCTTTTTTGGCTCGAACCAGCAGCCTCAGGATAACAAAACTGCTTTAAGAATTTAAAAACTATTTTTTTATTTGAACTTTTACAGAGATGACGTGGTGTGTGTGTGCAGGACCGGCCCTAGCCAATATGGCACCCTAAGCAAGATTTCATGTGGTGCCCCTTGTGTAATTTACTACGTCTCACTGCCAATCTCCATACATTTACCAAATTAAATAGTTTTTTTTCTTTAGAAACCAGGTTGTCCAATTAAAATAAATACCAATATAATTAATTTGAAACAGAAAACCAGAAGTCTACCTCATACATTTCACTGACAGCAATGAGCACCTGTCCATGTTAACAAGCAGCTGTGGACTGAAGCAGTTCTAAGGGGGTTCAGGTTTACTCATTTTCCAGCCATTTGAAAAGTGTGGTACTAAATACTGGGATTATTAAAACAACATAAAATCTGTTTGAAGGCAGAAGACTGAAAACCAGACTGACTAACCTAACTGAAACTTACATTATCTTTATTTTGTTTTCTACTTACACGCTGAGCACCAGTAATTAGTCTTGACTGCATCATATGATACTTTTATCTTGGAATACCCTGCTATATATAATCTTATATAGAAACAAAGCAGCTGAAAAACCCACAKAACAAATTCCCTTCATAAACTTGAGTAACCAGTGATTATTCTACAGACTAAATCAAATATACTCTGATAAAAAGTTAGAAAATATTTGTTTTTGTCTCCCATTTGTGGCGCCCCCTAAATGGACGGCACCCTTAGTATTTGGCTATACTGCCTATGCCACGTGCCGACCCTGTGTGTGTGTGTGTGTGTATGTGTGTGTGTGTGTGTGTGTGTGTGTGTGTGTGTGTGTAAGCACCCAGCCTGTTCGGGGTCAGCCTCTCTCCCGGTCTGGCCCTGTCCTCCGGTCCTGCCCTCCGAGCCTGAAGCTCAGCCAGGTAGTGGCCCTCTGCCGCTCGGACCATCTGCTGCTGTCTGTCCCTCTGCCTCTCCTTCTGTCTGTCCAGCTCCCTCTCACGCTCCTCCTCCAGCCCGGCCTCGCGCTCCCTTTCCTTCTCTCGTTCGCGCTCCTGCTCTCTTTCACGCTGGCGGAGCTCGTTCTCCATCTGTAGCCTGTGAAGGAGGTTGACAAGTACGCGCGCACGCACACATACACACAAACRCGGATACACAAACACAAGGAGGGGGGAGAGAAGTGAGAGATGCAACACCCAAGACGAGGCAGATATTAACCACACACTGGTGAATCTCACACAAACATTCCTGATGATGCGCAGACAAACGCCGGCGGAAACACGCGCCGACGACGACGACACACACTTTCCATTTACCACGAGGAAAATAATCCAGACACAGCATGACTGAGCAGGAGCAGATGAACACTTAATAGGTATCCACAGGAGTATGACAAAAAACACACACACACACATACACACACAACACATTCGCCAGCAATCAATAACACACAAACAAACCTTGGAGATATGCAGGAGCYGTTACAGAACCAGATGATAAATACCATCCATTTCAAACACAAACATTCCCTGTGTGCGTCAGGCCGCAGGGAAACAACGGGTTTTGTCAAACTGGAAAAGAAGCTCAAAGAGGAAACGGAAGAGAGGTGGTGGAAAACACTGCTGTGTGTGTCAGAGACTTTACCCATCGTTTGTGTATGCATTTATTTAGCAGTACGGRTGTGTGTGTGGAGGGCAGTGTTTGTGATGAGAGCATAGAAGGCACTGTGGGGTGTGTGCTAAAAATATCACACACACTCAGCAACCTGCGCTTACCCTGCAGAGAGAGATTACACAGCTTTAGAAGGTGAGGAGGAAGGAAGGAGGGAAGGAAGGAAGTTACCTGTCAGTAAAAGCGGCGTGGTTCATTTCTCCAGGGTAGCGCCCTCCAGACAGGTGTAACTGCAGGGCAGAGGGGTGAAGAGGGGGGAAGCTGCCTCCTGCAGGAACAGAGTAGAACTGCGACCGCAGCGCAGACAGACACAGGGACTCGTCCATCCTGCGGACAGAAAACAGACAAACTAAGTTACTCGTGCAGAGGTAGCGCCGCCTCACGATATGTGAAATGTGTTTGCAAACAACATAGATGGTTTAGAAATAGAAAATAAAAGAGGGTGAAGCTTTTAAAATTTCTAAGAAAATAGAAAGCTGGGGTCGGACCTCTCTATGGGTCATGAAACATCAAGTGAGGGTCCCCAGATGATTTCCAGACATCAATTTAAATGCAAATAAATTGCTAATTGAATATTTTCACCATAATTATTGCAAAAGAAAAAAATAGCATCATAGTTATTGTTTATAATATTATGTCCATGAATAATGGAATTATTAGCAAAATATTCAGACTTAAACCAGTAATATCTGGGGTCACGAGTTTCTACAACTGTTATGTTGTGGGCTAGAAGTTAAAACGTTTGAAAACCACTGCTTTAGACCATAATGTCTTACAATAAGCTGCTTTAAAGCCAGTGAGTGTAAACTACATTTCCCAGAATGCACACTGATTATTTTACTAGTAAAATGATCCTACTAATAGGTTCAAGAAGGCAGCTACTGACAACTCAACATTGAGTAAAACTCTTTTATTTTTACTTTAATATTATTTCTGCGTTATTTATTTCACATTTAGTCAGTCATACACGTAGTACTTTTCAGTGTTTACAAAAGGATGGGTTAAACACTGTTTCTGTGCAGGAAATACCGAGTAGAGCTCAGTTATTGTTTGTTAGTGGTGCTCATTCGTAGCAATGAGATGAGGAACGTGACATTTCATGTTTAGTCAAAGTTAAATACAATACTTCTAAAGTTATTCACAACTGGCCCTCGATGAAAGCCCTCTTTCAGCTTAGTCCAAATAAAAATCAACAGGTTCATAGAAATCAGCTTCATTTCTGGATGTTGTTTTCTTTTCCACATAATGTTAATTGTTTATAATGCAGTGCTTAAGGCTCTAAAGACTCCGACCATTGGAGAGTTGGTGTTCAGTCTGCAGATGGTACTAATGAAAATACTGTGTAAAACATAATTAAATCATTCAGATATTATTATAAATCTTTGTACTGTGTGTACTCTTTGTACTTAATTGCTGTAAGCAGGTGTTCTACGTCTAAAAACCGAACAGTTTGTCATTGCAGCAAAGATTAATGTCACCTTTGTAAGGACAGAGGGTGGTGCAGGTAGGCAGGGTGATAGTAGGCGGCGGCGGCTGCGGCGGCAGCGGCATGAGCAGCCGCGGCGGGGTCCAGACTCAGGGGCAGCGAGGCGAGTCGGAGATCGTCYGAGGTGGCGAAAGGCCTGAGAGCCCTCAGGTATTCCTCTGGRACGGCGTTCGAGGGAACCACCGAGTGCATCTGCCCGGGCAAACTGCAGCACAAGCACACAGAATCATATGAGTTCSAACAAAGTGTCGCGTGAAACATTTCATCAGTCCGGCCGCTCTCACCTTATGCTCTGTATGCGGGGGTCCTGCATGATGCTGCTGGGAGTGTGGCCAAAGGACTGAGCCAGAGGATGAGGTGAGGGGACGGGCGGAGTTCTCCTATCCTGGTGGCTGTTCTCAGCCACTACCCGCTCCCTATTTAGTCCCTGAACGCTGGACTCAACCTGACAAGGACACACACACACACACACACACAGGAAGTCTGAGAGAGAGCAGATTACTGTGTGCATTCATGAGGTTTGAGTGTGTGTGCCAGATCTAAAGCGAGCAGAAAAGGGGAGCGAGGAGCGAAGCAGAGTAGCTGGATGAAAACATCCAAGATGCAGCGAGAGGCTCGGCCGAGTGGAAAAGTGGGTCTGATACGTCACAACRGGTCAAGATCAAAGTGGAACAATGATCAGAATATCTGACCAACAGCTCAGTCCATCAGCCTCTGTGAGCGCGTCAATCAGAGGATTTGGATCGCAGAGATGTAGAAGCTTGTTTTTCTGACATTCTGTTTGTTGCTTCATTAGCTTTGCTTTGAGTGGTCCTCACCTGACCCTACTCTCCAACTGCATGTGCATCGCTTATTACCTTTATCTTCCTCATTAATATTCCAGAACTCATTTAGCATAGCTTTGTTTCTGTTCTGACCGTTTACCCTTTTGTTTTGTGTTTGTTGTTTGTCAGACTCTGATTCACACTTTTGAATTTACGTTTTCTGGAATCCCTGCCATCACAGCACCTTTCTTTGTTTTGTTTAATAAAAGTTATTTTCTCTTTTTTCAGCCGTCGTCTCCTGAGGCTCAGTCTACGTTTGGGTCCTAAATTACATACAAGGTGACAGCCAGACTGTACCATTTGATCTTTGGATTGTTTGTACTAAAATTAGAACCCTTTAAAACAAATAGGATGGTTTCAACTTTAGTATAAAACAATACAACAAACATGCGTCACGGGACAAGTATCGGTTTGCTTTGCATGGAGAACGTTACTCTTCAGTGCTCTCTAAACATAAAAAGGTACCAAATTACCAAATAAAAAACCTAGTGTTCATAAAGAAATGAATACTAGAGTTTTAGTTTTAGACTAAAATCATCTTATGTTGAAAAATGGCAGAATTAYGGCTATTTAAACAGMAAAATAACGTTATGTGCAAYCATTAGGTTTTCTCAWGTGATCTATAAGTGCTTGGAGTTTATGTTGCAGATCACTCWCAGCTACTACCACACTCRCTTTTAGCTCAAAATGTGTAAAAYTGATTGAGGTTTAGGCATATCTGTGGTTACTAAAGGTCCGTTAGTTGTGCGGACCATCGTTAGTCAGCTGTAGATGTTGATCCAACCAATAATCTCTGAATGTTTCATTAAAATCAGCATAGTGGCTAATGATACAAACACATACACAAATACGCACTTTAATGCTTTGCCTTTGTTTTTGCCAGTGCGCGATAAAAGACCAGATRAATTCTCAGCATCAGCTTTCACTAAGACTAAAACAATATGATAGTAAAGGTATTTTTGGTGACTGATTTTAGTTGGGGCCGTATGAAAACAGACTAACCAGGAAACTTAAAGAAAAACAAATATTTTACCCTGATGCGTTAGATCTGGTTCCTACAGCAACAACCTGCGATCCAGGCTGGGCCGACCACAAGCAAATGACCTCTCCGAACAACGCCTGATCTGCTACCTTCGCTCTGTACGACACATRATTTGCAGTGAAATACCAGAGCTTTGACTAGATTTGAATAGGTTTGGATATGTTGTTCATGGAAATCAGATTCAAATCAGCCGTGAACCATCTCCCTTAATGTCTTCCTGCAACCTCTGCTGGTTCGAGATAGCACAGGCGAGGCGGCGCGAGCACGAGCCTGGACGGCGGCCATCGCGTTCCTCGACCTCTGACCCCGCGGACAGCTGGTGGCCTTCGCGAATGCAGCCGCAAAACAAACAAGCAGTCTGTTTCTGTGGCGCAAATTGTTTGGAGGCCGGTGTGGAAACGACGACGCCGAATCCTCGCAAAGCTCTAAAGCCCTGCCCTTCTATCCTCTCTCAGCGTCGTACGCTCCGTTTCCCTGCCTCCCTCCCGTCTTCCTCTCCCCCCCTGAATGTCTGAATCGGAGCCCCAGGCGGGCAGAGCCACAGAGTGCTCTTTGTGAAGGGGGGAGAAAGGCAACTCTGATCCAGGGGGAAGTGGCTACTGTGGGGGCTAACCTCAGCATTGTGTGAGGGGCCTGGTTCCTCGCCTCGGCTTTTACACACACACACACACACACACACACACACACACACACACACACACACA